TCCTCATCCTCATCCTCATCCTCATCCTCATCCTCATCCTCATCCTCATCCTCATCCACCACTGTTACTGATAATGGGAGATACCTTAAAGGTGTTGATTTTGCTTGCGACACGACATAGAAAAAGCCACCCGTGGTCATCCTGAGTCGTCCCGAGTCCGGAGGCTCTACGAGAGCTGCAACGTCTTGGCTTTCGGAAAAAATGGCTTCCATCTCATCCGTTTCACAAGTTGTTTCCGAAGGGTTCTCAAGTCAACAAGTATGAGTCAACGGCTGCATGGGTTTATACTCAGGGGAGCGTGTTTGCCTATGAGATGAACCGCCTTATGCAAAATTGTGATTGGGCGTCTTTGTTCGCACAATATGGCTACGCTGTGAAAGCATTATTTTCGTATTGTGAGAAGATGCAAGACGCCTACGGTGAGAGGCAAAAACTATATCGTGGGTATCCGGGTTCATTGCATGAGGCACAAAACGAGTATCATGTCCCTTGGGCACAAGACACAATGTGTTTTTTTGTCGTTAGAAGGGTTCGTTCAGTTGTGCTTGAAATACTCCATTATTATATATTCCACTCCTGTTTGTGCCAGTCAGTCGAAGGTTGGAAGAACGTTTGCATGGCCGTCCTTCACAAGTACCTCCAAGTGTCGTGCAACTGCTTGTGATTTCGCAAAGGGTGAGTACTCTAGCGAGGGTGGATTTCCAATCCTCTTCGAGATTTCAACTTTGAGTCGAGGTGCTCCTTTGCTCGGCTGGTCAAGATATCCCACAGAGGATGAAGTGTTGTTGTTACCTTTCCAGGGATTCCACGTGACCGACATCTTCTTTACGGACGACAGGCGCATGCTCGTGATTCAGCTAAGCACCGTGAAGTTGGGACATCCAACCTCAGGTCCAACTTCATACATCCAAAATCAGGTCCAGCTTTCAGCACGTTTGGAGGAGCCCATAGTGCAAAGGCCAAGTCCTGGCGATGACTTCTTGATTTTTTTGGCACGGTGTTCATATTGATGTTCTTGTTCATCGCAGCTGTCAATGGCAAAGTGTAAGGTTTCGGCCCATTTGTGAGGAACAGTGTGTGAAGGGCCGTTTTTTGAGTCAGATGCGCAAGATCCTGGCAAATGCAAAAAGTGCTGGGTGTCAGGCAAGATCCAGGGTTGAGTGGTTGATTTATGTAATGTTTTTGAACATGGAGGACTGGATTGTGGTGCAATGCTGCATGGTAGCTTTCCGGTTCGCTAAAAAAACATCAAGCCTGGAATGAAAGGCATGGCTACTTCGTCGACTTAGCCCTTGTGTTCGCCACTTTCAGACTCTCAGACTTCATCCTATGGCAGAAAAATCAAATAGCTAGGCACCAATAGGCAGGCACCAGCTGCGCAGACAAGACAACACTGGTGGCAACTTCATACGGCCAGGTTCGCAGCCTACACGGTTTGCGAGTACTTCTTTGTCCTGTTCTTCCTGTCGGCAGCCCAGGGTGAGCAGAACCTGTTCTCCAGTGTGGAGCGAGCAGAGCGCAATGAACTGTCTCGTGGTATCTGGCCCCTGCAATGTCCTGGTCGATATTTGGCAACCAAAGATGCTAAGACGATCCTCCTAAGTGGTTAGAAGTCCGTCCAACTGATCTTCGCAAAATGACCAAACAAGTTCTGCGAAGATAACAAAGTTGGTAACTTCAAACATCTTTAAAAGATGTTCATAGATGTTCACATCACTTAAATCTTTGGTATGTCCCAGTGAACAGAAGTGGTTCTCCCAGACCACCGACGTCCAAGACGGACGTTCTGCCCCGATCACACTCCAATGACCTGGTGGGCGGGCCTCGCAGTTGTTGGTGTATTCCGGGCCCAAAGAAACGAAGCATAAAGATTGGAAGCATTCCCCATCCAAAAAAACTAGAAACATATCCCTCTACCAACTGAAGCCTGGATTGAAATGGATTAAATGACGGTTGAACGCTTCCTAGGCGGCCATACATGCAAAAGCTCTGTGTGATTGACAGCACCACTATGGTGTCTTCGGAGTATTACATGGTCATATTATACAGTGCTATGGGCTATGTACTATTTAAAAAAAAAAATATATATAGTACGTATCATATAAATATCACCTAGATATACTACATATAATATACACAATACATAGATAATACGTATTCTATTTGCATAAGACTTAAGACAATTACAAACTTCAACAAGCCTTTTTGAGGCCTTGTTCAAGTGAAGAGATCACGTCTCTGGTCGTACAGACTGGCTCGTGCGTTTGCGCAAGCGGCCTGGAACTGAGGTGTGAAATGCTTCTGAGACTTTGCGACCTGGGCTGTCGCCGTTACCTTTGCCGCCGCGCCCAGCAAAGCGCCGACCCGTGGGATGCACCAGGATACGAGGATGGATGTCCCTGTGGACCTCGTGGGAAGGACGACGGTGAATGACAAGTCGTGGGAATGACGCTCATTTCACAAGTGAATTCTCATTTCACCTATGGCAGGTTTGATGATTGCACCGCAACAGTCTATGTCGGTAAGTTTGGCTATGATCAGGTTTGGCTGTGGCCGGGTCAGCGCAGGGTTGATCTTCCACTTCCAGGTGAGGTTTTTCCTCAGATCCTTCACAGTGGTTGATGGACTCTTGGGGCGCTTCCAGAACCCCAACATCCACGCAACCCTAACAATCCTCAATAGCCCAAATATGTCCGGTCCTCCCACAATGACATGGCATTCTTTGGTTCAACCTGCTTCAAGAAGTTAAAGCGTTCAACTCTGCAGGCTGTGGGCTGTGCGGAACAGACGAGCCTCTTTGGCACCCGGTTTGTGTTTTTAGCATGGTTTTCTTAATACAAAAATCGGCGAGACGTGCTCGTCTCAAGTCAAACAAACATCAATGCGGCTTGCCCTCCTTCCTTGCGAATGGTTGCTTGCCAGAGACTATATATAGATGGACCCAATATGACCCAATGGCCCAATGTACATCAGCGGTCGGCCAGGGCTTGGAGTTAAGTAGATCATGGAATGTCATGGAACCTCATGTAATCTTAGTTTTTAATTTTTGTAGCGCAATCTTCCAGAAACCCATGATGGATTTGACATGTCCCCATGTTTGGCTTCGAGGTAGATACGCTTGGATGCCATTGGATGCGGCAGCACGGAGCCTCAGTATAGTCTGCAACGGCAATCCACCAGCAGTGGACACTGCCACAATACCGCATTGAGCAGGAGGTGTGTGTGATTCGGGTCAAACATGTTCATGTACGTAGTCGTAGAGTAATGTAGAGCCCTTCCCAACAGTTGCAAAGCCTCATGCCTTCAGTTTTCCCTACAGATGATGGTCACGTGATCGTTTTTCCTTCGCGGCTGTGTAGGGAAAAGCAGAAACGACGAGAAATGGTTTCAACCCTCGAGATGAAATGCGTGCAGCTCCAAGAGTCACGGTTCGATCCTAGCAGCTCGAAAGGTTCCCTGCGCGAATGATATCTCCATATCGAATTTTCCTGCCCAGGAAAAGTGGAGAAGCTGCAAAAATATCACCTTTTTGTGGGATTGGTTTTGCCAACAAAAACTGAGAGGGTCAGATATGTTGTGCTTTCTGATGCGTTCTGCAATGAAAACAAGGCTCCTTTGTTGTGTAATGACATCTTCAAGCTCAACGTTTCTCGAGTTCCAAGCAATGTTCCGACCAAACATCGTTTCCTTTTGGCCACAAGAACGGATTGACAGGTGGTGCTAACGGGTTTGATGGATCTGAGCTTGCCCTTCTTCCTGGATGCTGAAGTGGAACGGATGTCAGCCTGGATGCCGAGCAAGCTAAGCAGCCGGATGTCAGCTTCGGGAGTGGAGATGAGAAGGATTCTATGATGGAGCTTGGAAAGTGGGTGAAGATTCTGTGAAGATTCGGTGAAGATGTTGAAGATGTTGATGCACTGGGAGCCAGGTCTTTTGTTGGTTTGATGGGCGGATTCACCTGAACAAAATATCCACAAACAAGAAATCTTCTTCCCTTACAGTCATTGGTTGCCAAAGGCTTTAGCCAGTGTTTGAAGACCTGGGACATGTTCTTCCCCGACATTCACAAAGTTGCTATCCAGGTGTTTTTTTATGACCTGGGACATGTTCTTCACTTTTGCTTTGGTCTTCATTTCTCGGACTCCAGGAAGACACTCGGACTCTTCACCGACTTCACAATCCCTGCCGAACCGTCCGGTTTGGTCCGGTTTTGGTTCACCTGATGGTCTCAGACCGTGAGACAAAGACCACTTCATACCCAGACACGACCTATGGGACTGCCATCGGTTTGGATGTTTGGGTCGTTTGGGCGTCTTCTTTCAGGGTGAAGCGCAACACCCACCGTGACGCGCCGTTCTACGGCACTGGCGTGGAGACAATTGGTGTTTGCACCCCTGCAACCGTGTCTTATGAAGACAATAGAAGACCAGCTATTGAGCAACTATATATAGGTATAAGAACTCCAAAGATGAGGCACTGCCTCACAGCTGTTGCATCGTGTCACAGCGAGGCATCGTGGTGGTCTCCACTGGACTTGTTTGATCGGTCGGCGCGGCCGTGGATCGATGGGCGAATCGAGGTCTTACCCTTCCTGCGGCTGCTCCGGGTGCTGCGTTTGTTGAAGCTCTTCCAGGTATGTCCGAGACTTAGGAGGAGACCGGAGACTTCAAGTGTTTCAGTCAGAGTGCCAGCCTCAAAGGTCCATGTTAGCACCATGATCAGACCGTAGAGTCAGATAGTAGTTGCGGATAGGTGTGGTATGTTGTTGCGGATCAGGTGATTGTGTATTTGAAATGGTTCATGGGTGAACCCCCTGGTATGCCGTGGTGCCGTAGTGCCGGACATCCAAGGATAGTAGTCCGAGAGTAGGCATACCTCCAAACTATATTGCTTCTCCGTGCATCATTTCACCAGAGGTGCCTTTCGTCGCCAGCTCGACGCAAGCTTCATCGCAGTTCAACGTCCAGTTTCGGCCCGGTTTCTGCCCACGAGAAAAGGATGATTGATCCTTTACTCCCACCATTAAGAATATTCCCAAGAGAAGGATATTCAATGCTCCCACCATCTGAAGGTTGGGAGTTATCAATATTCTTATGTTTGACCTCTACGGATATGATGAGTGGTCGATGAATTGCTCCTATAATTAATGACGAAGTGCCGTTTCAGGTGTGTCCATTAACCAGCCCCCGCACACCATCCAAGGCCAATAGCAAAACCTTAACCTAGAGGAGAGGTGTCTTGCTCCTACTCACCCATCACAAGCCATCTGCTCCACCACTCCGCCTAGCTCCAAAGCTCGAGCTCCACGGACGGTCCCACCCTCTCACAACGGCGCTGCGCGTGTCCCACGCCGGCGCGCGACGCCAACGCCACGGCCGCCGCGGCGGCGGTCAGGTCATCCCTTGCGGATCATCGGCCGTGGCGTGCTAAAGGCCTTCTCCGTGGTGATCCTCGTGGGCCTCGCGCCTTGGAACGAGACCGACGCCGCGGAACGGCGGGTGGTTCAGATCCGTTCGGATCACTTGAAAAATTCCAGGGACGGCTCCATGATACTTATTCTAGAAAGGATGGCATCCCCTTCCTTTTGGGTCGAAACGTCGTGTCAATCTGTTTGTTTGGCGCTGTTTGAGCGTCCCTTGTTTGATAACCAACCACATCCGTCAGTCAAGGAATTGGGTGTCTCAGGTAGTGCTCGTCCTCAACTTTGGCCTGGCGATCATTCTCACCACTCTTATCGGGCAGAGGCTGGCGACGGGCTGCATAGGACGTGACTTAGCGGCCTGCCTTGGAGGACACCCTACAGGGCCCTGGCCATCATCATGCTGAACAAGAACATACAGTAATTGGTCTAGTCGTGTCCTCCAGGACATGGAAGCAAGCCCAACGAATTGCACGTGCCACTTAAGAAAACCTTTTTGTGTGTCCTGCTGCGTAGGCTTTTCCAAACCTTGGGAACCTGTTGGTTGTAGCATCTTGTAACTAAGAACATGTATGTATGCATGGATGGGTGGATGGATGGATGGATGCATCCATGCATGCATGTATGATATGTATTAATGTATAATGTAATGTGATGGTGTGTTATAAA